CCTCCGGCGGACATCTGGCCTGCAGGCGGGTCTGGGGACTTCTCGGGTGGGTTATGTTGTGTCTACGCCCTCACCTCGTGCTCCGGGATGACACTGCATTTGGAAATGGGCTCTTTGCTAGCGGCATGCGCTACGGACCTCGGAACAAGGCCTTTCTGGGTCTAGAGTGGGCCTGACCCCGAGAACGGGAGTCACGGAGACAGAGAAGCAGCCCCACGGGGGCGGAGACAGAGATGGCCAAACCCAAGGCGAGGGGCCGCAGAGGCCACCACGGCACCCAGAAGCTAAGGAGGCACAGAAAGTGCCCTCCCAGGCCCTCGTGGGGAGGGGAGAGAGCAGAGGCTCCCAGTCCCAGGCTGGGGCACAGTTTACGGGACCCCACAGCCCTGCACTCTCCTGTGCTGAAGTCCAGCTGAGGGCTGGGGGTGGGCTAGTGGGAGCCCTGCCTCCCGCCCCTTCTCCTCAGAGCCCCTGCTCATCTCCTGCCTCCCTGCAAGAAGCAAAACAGCACCCCAAACTGCCAACAAACGGTGGGTGGGGCGGGGGGCAGGCTGGGGAGAGGGCCAGGATCTCACAGCTCGCTCCGGCCTACGGCAGGCTCAGCCAGGGGGGTGGGAGGGCCCATGAGCCACGGGGTGAAGTCTGGGGCGGCTGAGGGCTCCCCACCGGCCCTAGGGCCGCATCAGCTGGGAAAGGAAAGCGGAGGAGGGTGTCCTCAGCCCTTGCCTCTCATCGCATCCAGGCCAAGGTCTGCTGCCAGAGGCGTTTCCAGGGCCTCCCCTCCAGACAGTCCTCTGCTGCCACCATTCCCATGATGCCAGAAGTGTGAGAGCGCTCTCAGGGAAGCCCTGGTCTCAGGGCCTGGTCCTTCAGCTGTGCTCCCAGAGAGCAGAGCTCGGGCCTGAGACCGGACTGGGAGCTGTCCCCGGTGCTGGTGAGTGTGGCCTGGGCCAAGCCAGCACTGGAGGGCCCGGGCTGGGGAGATGACTGCGCAAAGTCCGCACCGCCAAGGGTTAAATACGCGGAGGGGACGAGCACTGGGGAGGGGAGGCCCGGTAGGAGCTGGGGGCGGAGGGGGGTCCAAATGGCCCCTGGTCCTGCGTGTAGACAAAGGACGGTCTGCTCGGAGGCCGAGAGGGCGGGGTGACATGTGCAGGGTCTGGGGGCGCCAGGGCGGCCGGGGGCCCACTTACCCCTCGAGTCCCTTGCAGAGGAAGAAGAGCGCGCGCCAGGCGTGCGCGGCGGCCAGCATCAGCGAGAGCAGGCTGGCGAGCAGGCCGAAGCGGCAGG